TTTCTATCCACCTTACAGTCCATTCATCCAGCCCATACTTCTTTAACTTGGCGGCAAGAATACTGTGGGAGACCGTATCAAAAGTTTTGCTAAAGTCAACTGATCTGTTCTTTTCTGTCTTTCTTAGGATCGAATGTGACTTGTGTTTCTTGTCTTGAGCCCTGGACCCACATTGGATATAGTGCATAAAGTGATCATTAGATTGAGTTTACCATTCCTGGTAAATAAAGGGTCATTCTGATGTAATCTTGCTTAGTAGAAACTAGGCTTTCTGAACAACTGACCTGTTGGGCCTTATTAATTGTAAACTTAATAGATCTTGCATTAACTGGGTTCTGTCCACAGTCAGAATTGATTTATTGGTTTATTGTTCTTCTTCCCTGAGATGATGCTATGCTGTCATAAATTTGAGTATAGTTTAGCCTTCTCTGCAGCCAACCTCTCTAGAAACTTCAAGTTGTCTTGGCATCAGTATAAGATTTTGTCAGCCAACTACTCTGTATGCTAAATTTCTCTCACTGATATTAAGTATCTTAAATCCAAAAAACAATACCTTGAATTTATTTTTGATAAGCCAAATTTCTTATGATGCATAGCAGTAAATCACTTTTTCCTTTTATCCTTCATCTCATACATCTTGTTAGTTATGTTGCTGTACTGGTATACCATAGCTTTTAATAAAGGACAAATTCTACAACAACAAAAGGGAAGAGGATGTTTTCCCAGTGGAGGGAAGCCTGTCTTTAGAGGACCTTCTCAGACTATGTTATTATATTATGCACTTTCTTAGTACAATACATATTTTACTTTTTGATTTACTTCCCTTACAAATATGCTTTATTCCTCAGTAGTTTTCTTGTTTCAACTGTTCTCCACTGAGGTTCCTGGCGTATTGATCCATTTTATTTTTACATAACAGGATTTTTTTATACATATTCAAATTTTAAATTTAGTTTCCATGCTTCAGGAGCCTGGTTAGTTTGCTGCCAAGTCATCTCCTGTCTACGAAGTTCTTATGCTACTGGGAGAGAAAGAATATTTCACTTGACATTCATTGTGAAGATTGACTCTGTCAATAGACAGTATTGGGATCTGCAAAGCAATCTATGCTAGTGGGCCAATATGTAACACTGATCAACACTGGGGTACAAAGAGGAAAATGTAGAATATTATACCATGATACCACATATTAAAATGTTGCTATTCCTAAAAACAAAGTTGGTTCAAAAAGATATTGGTGGAAATTTTCAAAGCTAAGTTATTTAGAAGCCTAAATCCTATTTTTAAAGGTGACTTAGAGATTCTGGAGCCTAAGTCTCATTGAAAGTCAATGGGACTTAGGATCTGGAATGCCTAAGTCATTTTTGAAAATGGGACTTAGATGCTTTTGAAATTTTTACCCATCCTCATCTTATTCTGTAAAGCCCCTCAATATAATCGGGCTATGGAAATTTTGCACATTTGAGAATTGAACTCAAGATTTTTATCTGTTACAGGTTTTCAGTATTTTTTTTTTAATTGCAGTGGACTGTGTTTTATGAGGACAGGTAAATATTGTTTTTTATTCTTTTAGAAACGAGTATGCAAGAGTTTAGAGACCGTTCCAAATGAGAGTGATTTTTGCCACCAATTAAATGAATGTGCTATGGATTACTGGACTATGGAGCTGGATTCTAAACAGAAAGGTACCACAGAACAATTTATTCCTCAGACTCCTAAGGAAAAGCCAAATTCAATGGTATGTTTACATCACCAACAATAACTATTTATTAGTAGAACATGTTTAAAATACATTTTATAATAAAATTGCAAATAATTGCTTTTTTTGAGAGTTTTGTGTATGTTTTTGTTAGATTTTTCAAAATCATGGAAGCAAAGGTACTGCCCAGCCTTGCCCAAGATGTATTGCAGGAGAATCTGTAAGTATATTAACCTTCTTACTGTGACATAAAAGATAGACTTGTTCTTAAATATTAGATCCATAAAACATAAAGTTAATAAAAATCGCAATTACATTTCTCAGGAATAAAGCATGTAAATAAAAAAGGCAGATTGATTTAGTTTTTCCGAGGTATGCTAGCAGAGTACAAACTAATATGTTTCCAGCATCAGGTTGAAAATATAGAGATTGCAAACATATTTTTCAAATTCTCTCTAAAAAGCAGTTTACTGAAGTAACTGAATGCTTTTTAAAGTAAAAATAATACCTAATCTCCTCTTTTCCACTGGTATTTCTCATTAAGATAGTTAAGAAAAGTAGAGTCCCTTAACATTTTATTCAGATTTTTAGTAGGTACCTGCTTACTATTTTTAGCTATTGTGCTGAATATACCAGCGATGGTGTAATGCTTTGGGGGTTCACACAGGCCAGTAAGGCATTCTGTCACCTCCTGCCCTGTAACCTTGGGTGCCTCTGTGCTATGCAGCTTTGGCTCAGAGTCCTGACACCTGCAACATGCTCACAGCACCATGGTCTCCCCTGACCAGCCCAGTTACTCCTTGCAGGGTGACCCCAACAACCCTTGCAGTTCAAGTCTTCCCAAAACCATTTCCCTCTTACTGGATATTCACAGAGGTAACACCGAGTTCGCTCCCTCCAAAGAACCAGTACACACAACAGCTCGTTAGATCAGCTGGAGTTATACCCAATACCACCGTATTACCCAAACACAGATGGTGTGTAGTAAAACTAAGAATATGTTTCTTAAGAAAGAGCATAGGTTTAAGTGATTTCAAGCAAGAGTGAAAGAGATATGAAAGGGTTACTAACAAAAACATCATGCTCTCTAGTGTCTAAAACTTAATTCTAGCAAAGTATAGCTTTGTCTAACAGTTTTTTTAACTCACACCAAGTTGTCAGCATTTTCCAGCCTGTTTAGCAGGACCCATCTTTCATAAATACAAAGCGCTGGCTTCTTTGTTCTCTCAGCTGATGGACACCCCAAAGTCTTTCAGCAGTTCCTTATGTCTCCAAAGTTTATCTTTGTCTTCGGGGTCAGGAAGCCCTCCTAGGGACTCAGCTTTCTGTGTCCACCAGGGAGCCTGTGCCATCTTAATTTTGCAGTCCCCTCTGATTTACGATGCAAATGATCTTAATGGAATCTGCATTGCAAATGAGTAGCCCAGTTGTCCTTGTCTCTGGTCACACCTGGCTTGATTTGCAGTTGAGCCAGAGGTGTTTGCCTTTCTTCTTTGTCTGGGGGTGGGGGAAACTGATTTGCCTCCTTTGTCTGTTTACAGACTATGAAAAATATAAGAGATTACTCATAGTTTTAAAAACAGCATTGTAACATTTCACAGTGATATGAATGTCCAGTTTATTAATTTTCAAATGATATTACAAGACACCTTTTAAATAAATATAGTAGAACTTCAGAGTTATGAACACCAGAGTTACAAACTGACTGGTCAACCACACACCTCATTTCGACCCGAAGTATACAGTCAGGCAGTGGGAGAGAGAGACACACAAAAAAGGCATATACATACAGTACTATGTTAAATGTAAACTACTAAAAAAAGAATAAAGGCAAAGTTTAAAAAAATATTTGACAAGGTGAAGAAACTGTTTCTGTGCTTGTTTCATTTAAATTAAGATGGCTAAAAGCAGCATTTTTCTTCTGCATAGTAAAGTTTCAAGTCAATATTCAGTTGTAAACTTTTGAAAGATCAACCATACTATTTTGTTCAGACTTATGAACATTTCAGAGTTACAAACCACCTCCATTCGAGGTGTTGGTAACTCTGAGGTTCTCCTGTATCATGACAACAGTGTGAGAAATGTACTGTTACATACGAGGGAGGCCCTAGCCATCTAGCATTAGGGTGCTCTTAGGGTCACAGATGGGCAAAAGAGGAAGTGCTGTCTCTACAGTGTCATTTCCTACCAGATCCCTCAGGAGATTTACCATGCGTTGGACATCCACACACCAAGCTTACAGGGAAGTCCCTAAAAATTTATTACTCTGAGAGTTACTATTAAATTTTGTTTGCACCCTCTGCTGTTGAATCCATCCAAGCAGAGTTCCACAAGAGCAGCCAGCAGGAGAATGGGAGGGATATGTGAATGGAGTCTTAGTCTGTCAATCTTGAGGAGAAGGTTGAACATCTAGGGCAGTGACACTCAGGCCTGGGCTACACTAGGGGGAGGGTTCGAACCTTCAGTTACGCTATTCGCGTAGCTGAAGTCGAAGTATCTTAGTTCAACTTACCTGGCCAACCTCACGAGGTGGAGTACAGGCATCAATTCGAGGATTGATTTATCGCATCTAGACCGATCCGGCGGTAGTACCCTCAGACTGAGGCTCACGAGTGGCTCTTTAATGTGTCTCCTGGGGCTCTTTGCAGCACATGATATTAAAACACTGTGTGATTTAGTTATTAACCAATCAGGATGCTTTTACTATGTTATTAACCAATTGTAGTTGATAAAATAATAATACTTGATCAGTCATTTTGCTGTGAGAATTATATAGATAAACTAAATATTTCCCATCATACTGTTTAAATATGAATATATCATACTATAGTAAATGAAACAATGAATTCACACTGCTGTGGCTATTCTGGGTAATGTTGATCGCTAACTTGGCGCTTGAACTACTAAGGTCTGAGTATCACTGATCTAGGGTGAAATCCTGGACCCAGCTAAATCAGTGGCAAAACTGCTGTTGACTTAATAGGGCCAGGATTCCATGCCTAGAGTCAAAAGTTGCAACATTAGTTGTCAACATTGGATTAAGCTTTAATCACCTTTTTAAAATAATTAAATAAAAGAAGCCTGTTATAGATCTCAGTCCAATGAGGAACAAGCATCTCCTGTAAGGCACAGATTTTTAAAGGTATGTAGGCACCTAAAGGTGCATCAAATTCCTACTGGGATTTTCAAAAGCACATAGGTATCTAACTTCTGTTGATTTCAATGTGAGTTAGGCAAGTAGGCACCTTTAAAAATCCCAATAGGCACCACTGCATATCTGTAGGCACCTAAATATCTTTAAAAATCTGCCCTTGACTATCTTCCCCTCCCACTGAAGTCACTGAAAATTGAAGAATCTGTTCTATTAATCAGCTTGAATTATCAAGTTTTGTAAGCTTTTGTTGTGAGCATATTGCCTGTTCTTTCTCGACATGCAAACTGTAAAGTGCATCCTTGGATCAAAACCCAAATTGTTTTAGAATGTTACTTCCATTTTAGAGAAGTCACTCTTTGACCTCTAACTTTTTTAAATGGTTTTCAGAATTACAAGCGCCAGCATTAGTGGTAATAAGATTCTTCAATTTTAATGTGAAACTAATTTTTGATGAATTACACAGTTGCAAATTAGTACTGGAATACATTATACCCAGCTTTAGGTAATATTTGTGTATACCTCTTAATTTCAAATAACAATTTCTATTTTGGCAGTAGTATTAGAAATGCAGTAGTCTTGTGCTTCTCTTCATTACATTTTACATCAGTAAATGTAAGAACAAATTTATGAGCACAAAAAAAACCTTGCCAGGTAAAATTCAGCCCTTGTGTAAGTGGTTGCTTCTATGAAAGGCTAATACCATGGATGATCTGTTCATGTTGGTCTTAAATTTAGAGCATTCAGTAGACATATCCAATAGTGGAAAAGAGAGTTTTCTTTATCCTAGTCTTTTCTTAATAGCTCTAGTTTTCCTATATAGGAACTCCACAATTCCAAAATGGAAGATTTATTTCCCACCGTATATTTCAGCTTGCAAAACATAAGAATTTCAAATTATAGCTTTATGGGGCTTCTCTTTTACTCTTCTAGGTAAGTTTGCCCACCCCAGAATGGACAAATACTTTTCCTAGTTAAAGCAGAGCAATTTTAAAATGTATGGATCAAGTGAAACTATAATGTCTTCAATGTGCCATGAGGCGATTAGGAACAAAAGCATTAGTCCATGCTTGATACAGGAGATCATATTGTCAGTGGAGGCAGAGGTCAAGGATTAAAATGTAATGGGTTTGACATGGATTACTTAAAGATCAGCATGTATAGTATGACTCACTCATTACGTCCTATTTGACTAATTAGCTACTTCTGGCCAATATCATAAGAGAAGAAAATACACATATTTTGGTCAGTTGATCAGGAACCAAATTGGTACATTATTTTCATTCACAAAACAATTTTAAATTGCAGTGTATCAGACTACAGTATAAAGCCTAGCAAAGGTGTTACTAGGTCAGCTAACTAGTAACTTTCTGCAAGTTCAAATTTCACCTTAAAAGATTTAAAGGATTGTCATTCACAGAGATCCAGTTTTGATACCTTTCAAAATAATTACTCTGGAAATAGCGCTCCAATATCTGGCTGTAACAAGGAGGAGGAGCCCAGATGTGGGAAGAGATAAAGCATGCCTCTACTGATTTTACAAGGAATAACATAAGATATGTTAAAGTCACATAAGAAGCTGTACATTCTACTGTTAAAGCGGAGTACAAGTGAATTAAAGTAAAATATGGCAGCTAGATTGGGGTAAATCAGACACAAAGCCTAATGAGCGGAGACAACCCTTTTGTGGTTGTGGTTGTGTGGTGGACCTTTTATAAGCACTGTGTTTTGCACTGGGAAATCCTGATTTTATGCAGTTTATGGGGAATGTAAAGAACTTGACTAACATCAGCAATTCATGAATACTTCCACTTTTAGGTCTGCACTTAAAAGTGTAGAGAGGACAGGATTCAAGCTTAAACTGGTTAGTCAATATAGGAAGGGGCAAGGTAAAAATTATATGTAAATACTGTGCTGTGAAAAAAATGCAACTCTATTAAACTAGTACTGGGGGTGGGGTGAGGAGAAGTTTTTATTTCAACAGTTACTACTTTTAAGCATTCTCTGGACCAGATTTTGAATGTGAGAGAAGGGAGGCGGGGTGGGAATGCACAGGTGAAAAATGTTTTGAGATAAATTTCCAGTCTTGTTTGAATTACTTTTAAGAAAAATCCTTTATATTAGGTTTCAGAGTAGCAGCCGTGTTAGTCTGTATCCGCAAAAAGAACAGGAGTACTTGTGGCACCTTAGAGACTTAGGTATGCATCCGAAGAAGTGGGCTGTAGTCCACGAAAGCTTATGCTCTAATAAATTTGTTAGTCTCTAAGGTGCCACAAGTACTCCTTTATATTAGGTTACACAGTGTGAGAGGGTCATTTTTGTTTGATCAGTGTGTAAAATATGTACCCACAATAGTTTATTTAGTCATGTAAAAATGTATACATAAAAATGCACAAGATAATTTAAAATAAGTCCAGTGAGAAAATAAAACCTTATCCCACTTGGACTGTGCTAATATATTTTATATTTAATCAAAAGAGTATGATTTCTAACATACTAACAGTTACCAATGAGATGTTAAAATTGTCGGTCGATTGTATGCAATTCTGTTGTATACTTTTTTGCATGCATAACATTTTAACCTGACATATGAAAGTCTTATCCAAAATAGAACCATGTTACCAATAAAAATTACATTGAAAAACTTCCTTGATTATCCATTGTCCACTAAGTCATTCAGATGATCAAGGTATGATGCTTTTAGTTGTACACTGTCTATTTCTCTTTGACCGAAGAGTTTCATTGCACAATGACAAAAATGCTGCACCAGTTTTAAATTAGGTTTTGTTTTGTGACGTGTGAAACTTTGTCATTTCAGGGACACTTCAATCATATTATGGGCTTCTAGAAGAAGAGAGCCTGCAAAGCAGCAATGTTCAGTTTCTGTTTTTAAAACATAAGAACATGCATGTGTAAACGCCGTACAGCTGGATTTCTGTACACACCCATTCAATTAATGTGGATCTAGATTTGTTATACATAATGTAAGATTTTGTGCATTATGTTGTATTTTTAATACAAAAATCCATATTCCTTTGTTTTTATAGTTTAACAAGTTATTAGTTCAAATAACTTCCATCTTGATCCTTCCTTCCTACTCCCTCCCCAAGGCCCTTCACGCAGGCTAGTGTTTCATTCAGACATAGGTGTTTTTAGTAGTGGGTAAAGAAAGTCATGAAAGTAGGTCTGATTTTGCTTTGTTATAGGAGTTTAGTTAGCCCAGTGTTGGTCCAATCCTGCAAATCCTTAGTCCTCTTGCTCCACTTTCTGTTCCTTTTGGGCACCTATTGGGACACTGGTAGTGACCATCCTTATGTTCAGATGAGAACAGGGACTACATTTGTGGCCCAGCTTTTTCTAGAAGCCCGTACAGAGTGACAAAGCAGAGGTTCTCTTTACACACACACACACACAGACACACACACACACACACACACACACACACACCCCTTGTACGCCTGCACAGAGGCCAATAACAATCTGGTCTTAAGCTTGCACTTCTTTGTTACTTATCAAAAACATATCCCCCCATCCATTTTTAAGTACTTTCCACTTTTTTTTATAAATGAACACAGTTTTACACACACTCCTATCTCTGAAAGAGAAATATTATTTTTGCAACATTCCAGCATGTGAAATTGAATGGTAGCACCCGTGCTATGCAGTTCCCTGTTCAAAGCTGCCAAGGACACAACCAGTTTGCCACTGCTTGACTCTAGTAGGGAAGACTCACTTGTTTTCCAGTTGTTGGTTTGGTTGCTGGATCTTGGCCACTGCTGAAATTGTTTGAACATTATTTTAAATCTCCATTTCTTGGCAGTATTAATTATATTTCATTTTTATCATATGTATTATATTAAAGTTTTTAGGCAACCTAACATAGGGCTCAATAATGACAGCAGAGTGAGGATGAGGGGTGGGTGCACTGTCCCAAGGGTTGCTCTGGGAGGAATTCACTAGTAGAAGGTTCTGGAGCAGAGGAGGTATAGCCAGCATATTGGGCTCCTGCGTGGGAGGCTGATGGACATATGGCCCAAACTCTTTTAACTCTCTTTTGTTGTGTCATACCCCAGAAGGTGCACACAGAGAAATCTCTGAGCTACAGTTGTGCCTCGCTGCTGCTCAAGGGAGGGCTTCCTTTAAGCAGCCAGTCAAACAGTTTAGCCCAAAACAAAGATTATGGGCCAGATCTTTCACTCTAGTTAACCTATGATCAACACAGGACCCGAAGAGGCAGTAGGGCAGAGTTGGCATTGGAACAGTATTCTGCCTCCGCAGTTCTGGGAGCATCCAGGGACCAGTTCAACTCCCAGAGCAACTTAGAACTGCAGCCCTGAAGCCCAGGCTTACACCAGGCTGGTATTAGCCCTCTAAGGGGTAGTATACAGCCAGGGATTGACAGGGCATTCAAGCCAAGTCCCTTCAACCTGCTAGAATGCCCTTTGTGTTGGGTGGAGGTAGAAGGAGCAGGTGGTGTAGGGCTGGCTGTTTCTTAAAAATATATTAATAAATAAATAAATAAATTAATTAATGGAGATATCCCATCTCCTAGAACTGGAAGGGACCTTGAAAGGTCATCGAGTCCAGCCCCCTGCCTTCACTAGCAGGACTAGGTACTGATTTTGCCCCAGATCCCTAAGTGGCCCCCTCAAGGATTGAACTCACAACCCTGGGTTTAGCAGGCCAATGCTCAAACCACTGAGCTATCCCTCCCCCCTTAATCTTAAATAAATTGATACCACATTGATGGACAGACACCATCACTACAGCACCAATAGTGTAGATAAGCCCTAAATGTAATCATGGGTATAACAATGTATAGCTAAAGAAAAGATAGGGCTAAAACAACATGTAACCAAAGAAGAGATGGGGCAAAAGCAGACTTGACTCTCCTCAGGAATGAGTTTGTGCCAGTATATATTATAGCAATAGCGTGTCACCAGTTTTAAAACATTGGAAGATATGTCCTTATGTATTATCAATTTGGAGAGATGCTTATTTGTTAACAAAGATATGAATTCTTTCAGTGAATTATTGATAATGTCCATGCACATTTCTTCTGTTTGGTCTAAACTGTTGATCTTTAATTAATTCTGTTATGAGATGTGGCAAAAATGAAGGTCCAAGTATTGTTCACTGTGCCCTTCATAATTTTTATATCATGTTCCCGCTAACTCTTCTCCCTTCAGGCTATACAATACTTGTTTTTTGTAATATCTCACCTTACAGAAATCACAAGGATTGGTCCCAGTCCTTGGCTGTATTACAGAGGGTTGATTAAGTTATACTAGGGTTTGATTATAATGGGTTTTTTATCACTGCTGCTGCACAGTGGGAAGGTATTTCATTATGTTATCCACAGTGACTCCCAAGACTTCATCCTTGGACTATACTGTACCTGTTGAGCCCAACAACATGAGAATTTTGATTGTTCTTACCACTCTTGCTTGTAACACGAGCCTGGGCCTGTTTCACCACTGCCCTGCATCTTGTGTGGTCACTTACAACAGAGCAAAGGAATAATATGCTAGCAAATCAGACTGGTCGCATTTTACATCTCTTTGCACTGTCTCATCCTTTAGTGTTTCAGCGATAGTGTTATTCATTTGAATAGACTTATATGTACTGAACATCTAAGGGCTACAGTTCAGAAAGTAAATCGGATAAAATCATAAAAACTGTACACAAATTTCAGAATAGGTTGTAACAAAAATAGTTAACATACAGTTATCTTTTGCACTGTATAGCAACAGTATGAGACATCTGTGTTTAGGAACAATACTAGGGCTGTCAATTAATCGCAGTTAACTCATGCAATTAACTTAAAAATATTTTTTTAATCGCGACTAATCACAGTTTTAATCGCATTGTTAAACAATAGAATACCAATTCAAATGTAGTACATATTTTTGGATGTTTTTCTACATTTTCAAATATAATGATTTAAATTACAACACAGAATACAACGTGTACAGTACTCGCGTTATATTATTTTTATTACAAATATTTGCACTGTAAAAATGATAAAATAAATCATATTTTTCAGTTCACCTCATACAAGTACCGTGATGCAATCTCTTTATCGTGAAAGTGCAACTTATAAATGCAGATTTTTTTTTTTACATAATTTCACTCAAAAACAAAACAATGTAAAACTCTAGAGCCTACAAGTCCACTCAGTCTACTTATTCAGCCAATCACTAAGACAAATAAGTTTGTTTACCTTTATGGGAGATAATGCTGCTCACTTCTTATTTACAGTGTCACCTGAAAGTGAGAACAGGCGTTCGCATGGCACTTTTGTAGCCAGCATTACAAGGTATTTACATGCCAGATATGCTAAACATTCGTATGCCTCTTCATGCTTCGGCCACCATTCCAGAGATCATGCTTCCATGACCATGCTGATGCTGCTCGTGAAAAAAATAATGCATTAATTACATTTTGACTGAACTCCTTGGGGGAGAATAGTGTCTCCTGCTCTGTTTTACCCCCAGTCTGCCATATATTTCATATTATAGCAGTCTCAGATGATGACCTAACACACGTTGTTCGTTTAAGAACTCTTTCATTGCAGATTTGACAAAACTCAAAGAAGGTACCAATGTGAGATTTCTAAAGATAGCTACAGCACTTGACCCAAGGTTTAAGAATCTGAAGTGCCTTCCAAAATCTGAGAAAGACAAGGTGTGGCACATACTTTCAGAAGTTTTAAAAGAGCAACACTCCGATGGAGAAACTACGGGACCTGAACCACCAAAAAAGAAAATTAACCCTCTTCTGGTGGCATCTGACTCAGATGATGAAAGTGAACATGCATTGGTCTGCACTGCTTTGGATCGTTATTGAGCAGAATCTGTCATCAGCATGGATGCATGTCCTCTGGAATAGTGGTTGAAGATGAAGGGACATATTAATCTTTAGGGCATCTGGCATGTAAATATCTTGTGACACTGGCTACAGCGGTACCATGCGAACGTCTGTTCTCAGTTTCAGGTGACATTGTAAACAAGAAGCGGGCAGCATTATCTCCTGAAAATGTAAACAAACTTGTTTGTCTGAGTGACTGGCTGAACAAGAAGTAGGACTGAATGGACTTGTAGGGTCTAAAGTTTTACATTGTTTTATTTTTGAATTCAGTTATTTTTTGTAAATAATTCTACATTTGTAAGTTCAACTTTCATGATAAAGAGATTGCATTACAGTACTTGTATGAGGTGAACTGAAAAATACTATTTCTTTTGTTTTTTACAGCCCAAATATTTGTGATAAAAAATAAATATAAAGTGAGCAGTGTACACTGTGTTCTGTGTTTTAATTGAAATCAATATAGTTTAAAATGTAGAAAACATCCAAAATATTTAAATAAATGGTATTCTTTTATAGTTTAACAGTGCAATTCATCGCATGATTAATCACGATTATTTTTTAATCATGCGATTAATCGTGATTGATTTTTTTAATCGCTTGACAGCCCTAAACAGTACTATAAAACTGTTGAAGAAAAAGCTCACCTAGCTAAGTGATGACAATTATGAACTGATCTAATCTACTGTGCTTTAACAAATTAGAGAATGAAGTCCTTCCAGCCTATTTCAACCCTCACCTGCCACTGTGAGTTTGCGAATAGTGTTGTGTAAACCAGTTGTCTCTACCAGTTCACGTAATACATATGGTTGTTGTAAAATACGGAATAGTTGTATAAAGCAGAATAGAGTGTTCCCTTCTGTTCCTCAGAGAAGGGCCCATTAAGACTTGCTTAGAGCTTGCTACTTAGACCTTGCCTGCTTTGACCTTGCCACTTCTTCATGAATGAGGAATGTCATTTTAACTTTCGCATCCTCCCCTCTTACTTTTCCATGCCAGTTTTTTCTAGTCCGTTGAACACCGTACGTTATTACTGTGCTTTAGTTCTGGATATCACCTAATTCTCTTGCCTCTTAAGTAAACCTTGAGACCTGAGATTACAATTTGCACTGAAATTATAGGTCATTTGAGATCTGCATTTTTAGTCACCTTGTAACTCTGATACT